TAAAATTGTTTGTTGATTTTATAAGCTACAATGGTTTATCACCGTATTTTGCTCGACTAGGTATTAGCAATATGAAATCATTAAAACAATCAATTTATTTTAATTGCAAGGTGATTCTTTCCGACCTTTAAAGGTTAGTTTCCCAATATCATTGTTTTGATGCATATGTTTATATACTTTCATCAGCGTTGAAACGTCACCAAACGGCGTATTGGTAACTAAATAATTAATCTGGCAAACACTAATAGGTCACAGTATGATTGTATATTCAATATGAATCACGCGCTGCTCTATCTTCTTACTTGTTTTACGCTCATCACGGCCGTGGCAATAAACCGAAGGGCTAGGTCACCAGATGACGACGACATTGTATTTATGGATCCGGATGCTGGTAAGTGAATGTTAAATGTTTAAAGACTGTATTAATGAAGGTTATAGCGCCTAGGATCATAGAAACGACAACCGACTTTCCGAGTAGGAATATTATAAAATTTGGCCGGAATTGTGGTATTGGGGAAACATTTGCGGACGGAAGGTGCAGAAAAAGGTTCAGACAGTTTCAATAGTCGATGAAAACTGAAAAACGAGAAGAAATGATGTATGAAAATAAAACCGATCAGGCTTATTTGTGTGTTTCTCTGTTTTAGATGAGACAATAAAAATGGTCGTAGATCAAAACAACAAGTAGTAGCATTTAATTTTAAGTGGCTATGGATATTTTAGCTGGACAGGACACTACACGTCTAAATATAAGAATCAAAGTATCTATTACGATCATATTGTGTACTGCCCGTTGAGGTTATCCATGGTTAGTTCCGTGCTTTATTGGAGTTCTCATACCATCATAACTACTAACATTGGAAATGTTTATGTTTTCGTATATGGGTACAATGTTACGAATTTCGTTCAAAGTCTAAACGCAACGGTCATCTCCTTAAAATAATCCGAGGGTCGTAAAGGCTTAGTTTTGGAAGCAATGCTTTCTGATCTGGTAAATGTTTTTCCAAAATTCCTACTCCAAGATGGTGCACGTCTACTTGGGAGTGAGAACAATTCTGATGTCGAGTTTGGTCACAATTTTTGCTACTAAACCGCCTATTTCGATTCATCTATCGGGCGATCAAAAATGAGGGACTGTCGAGTTACCTTTGGAAGTTCGAGTTAAGTACGATTTCCCATGTAAAAAAAATTCCAAACTCATACTACTCATGTTTGATCGCCCTTTACTATGGAGTTTTAGGCGTAAGAAAAGAAAAATGAAATATATTTCGTACGAAAATCCAGAAATAAACACCGCAGGAGAAAAAAAACCTAGGGTAACACACACAAATATAAAAAATAGATTAACTACGAGAACAATACAATAAAAATCAGATATCGAATTAAATGCAGTTAAACAAATTAACAAAAACGTGATATACGTTACAATGTAAAACAAGATAAATCAATTTAGTGCATATCAAACACATCTACGCTTAATTTAGGCAAACAACTCGTAAGATGATAAATTGCATCCATCATCGGCCACCATTCAACACGAAAGGTGCAGATGAGAATGCAAGCAGTAAATATTCAAAGCAAATTCGATTATCACGCACATACCCTCGTACTAAAAAAAAATATAAATAAAAAAAAATAAAAAAGAAAGGTTAATTAGAGGGTTCCACTTCTTGTATTGCTAAGACACAAGAGAAGAAACAACAGATATAGTGCATAGTTTAATGTTATCATTTTGTAGTAGAAAATGGTAAAATTATTTGCCGGCTTACTGTGAGATGCCGTTACCTACATCACTTTTCCGCTACTCTCACTTCACGTTAAACGTAACCAGTCTAACCACATAAAAGAAGGCGCCCGGCTCATTGTAGGAGACTGTTACCTCACCTTGCTTAGCTCAAAATTCCACAAATCAAAACACCCAGAACTTAACCAGATTTCCTGAACCCTGAATTATCCAGAAGCTCATGGCTGGACATGATGCATATCAAGGGCCTGAATTTAAACCTTACTAATCCCTCGTATATCCGCCCTGCAGCTTACGGCCGGTACTTCGTGCCTGACATTTTTACACCGTACATTGTGATGCAAAAAACGATTTTTTTATTGCTATTTAAGTTGCATAACATCAAGGGGTTTGAAGGAATTATAAATTAACTACAACCATGCAACGCACTAGAAAATAATATTCATTATTTTGGCAGCATAGATTAACGCTCACACCTTTACAAAATTATTTACAAAAACCCGAAACAACTCGTGTTTAGTGCTTGAAATAAAGCTAATATTTTTAGCCGCGTACGAACTATCTTGTTGTCCAAGATCGAATGAAGCCCAAAAAATCTCCCCTTGAGGATTCCTACTATCCTTTCTCATTAACTACTAACCACAAAATGGCTTCTTATCCATGAACATCGTCATCTTTACTTGTTGCTTGTTAGGGTAATAAATCTAAATCAAATCCCACTTGTGACCAACATATACGACAACGACGATGCATTTTCTACGATAATGAAATGATCTCCTGCTTCTTCAGTGGTTTAGAGTAGGTAAGGCCAATTATTAAGTTACCCACTTAGGTCTAGTTCACAGCAAGATCTCGTCTTCAGACATCCGAAACCAATTATGACTACAATTATCTACAGAAATTAAAAGATTTAGAAAGCGCAATCTTCAATCACACCAAATGCTTACAGATTTACTCTTGAAATTCCACTAGTCACATGATTTATTGGAAAATCCCTTGTAATCCTATGTATATATTATGTAACCTGCCGTAATCCTTGAAACCTAAAAAAACTGTACCTCTCTCTCTCTCAAATTCACATTTAGAGTTACTGTTACAACATTTACAGGCGTACCCTTGAATATTAATCTTAAGTCGGCAGTGAGTTAAGTTGGTAGCGCAGCATGGGCCACATGACAAAAAAGAAAATACCTTACCTGCAGGTTAACTAGTAATTTATTCTCTGCTTGAATTTGCTCGTAGGTAGTTAGTATATAGGTATTCTTGAAAAATTTTTAACCTTAACCCACTGGTAATTTTTGGGGACGCTATATACTCAGAGACTTGTTATTACGGTCTCTGTATATACCTTTTAAGTGTGCTTACAAAATACCAATTTGGACAAAGCAGGAAAATTAAAGCATAGACACCTACTGGTTGAAATCTATACAGAGTTTATTATTATAGGTCCCTTGACTGTATACCTCTCCGTATAGCTATTTTGTGTAAATATCTCACTTTAAAAAAAAAAGTGCACTTTTTCGTTTTCATGTCTGTCTGTCTGTCTGTCTGTCTGAATCACAAAGGCTCCGGAACTACACCACTTACAGGCTTGGTATTGGTGTCATTCGATCAGAAATTAAAAATTATTTCATGTTTGTATTCTCGTTAAGGCATGAAATGTCCATAAGGGCTATTAAAATCGAAAAATCTAATTGACGAATTTTTAATAATGCCAGTCTTTTGTATGAATGGAACATTTTCTTGAATTAGATTTGCTTATGGTGCATTTTACAGTTTCATTGCAAATGTAGCATCTGCCTTCAGAAAGTACAGTGGTATCTTGTGTTAATTTTCAAATTCAATTTTTGCTGTAACAAAAGGTAATGTACTTAGTTTTACATGTAACTATTCGCTTTACCGTAAATTATGTCGCCTTCAGCTGCCTCTAACTGAGGGGTAGGTGACTCTTCTTGTGGATCGGGAAATCGGTACAAATACAAAAATAACCTCATACAATTAGATTTGTATGTTTCGCATATAGAAGGTCGTTCTTCAGGGAATGGTTTTGATGCTAGAATGAGTTTCATTCTGGCATTATTTTTGGTAACTTTTTTATTGGTACACGATTTTTTGAGGAATTTTTAGTGATGAATTGGAATACTTGGCCCCAATGACATGCTTTCTAACAGCTATAGCGTTCGCCTAAAATAAAACTTAATAATAAAACAAGGAACAAGACAAAAGAAATTAATTTCCCTTATTAATGTAACTAATTCGATTCTACTTTTTCTTTCATTTTGAAAATATGGTGAGAACGCATTTGACGTACAGAAAGGGTTAAATCCAACCGAAAAAAGTAACGCTTGGAGGTTCACCAGGTTTGTCATTCTGGCTTCTATGTTACGATGCACGAAAATATAAAACAGATAATCCATCAATCCCGGGTCCGGGTTTTACCCACCCAGTCGGGGTCTGGGTCGGGGTCCGGGTTTTGCCCAGACCCGGACATTTTCCTTGTAAAAGTTTAAATTGGAAGAGTCCGCCATAATTACTTTTGCAGTTACTACTATGCGATCAAAAATGAGTTGCTGTCGAGTTACCTTTGGAATTTTTGTTTACATGGGAAATCGTATTTAACTTGAACTTCCAACGGCGACTCGACAGCAACTCATTTTTGATCGCCCGTTATTAACTCTTGATTTTGGCGAAGGATATTATACTCATGTGCCTTGAACCCTTGATCCCCTGTAAAAATATGACGTACTTTCTTAGTACTGAAACGGGCCAAGAGGAACACTAAGGCCCTGGTACTACGTGTCATAAAATCAAAAGAACCAACGTACGAGTATATTTGTGTACCACAATCTCTTTTCTATTTTGTTCCAAATTCAATTAGATTGGCGTTATTATGGCAAAAACAAGAATACATTTGTTCCCATTTACTGTTTGTTTCTACGTCAAAAAGGCTTTCTAAGTAAATACTCCAACGAAATGTTCTATGGAATGGCGCAATTCACAGTGTTCTTCTAAGTAAATTAATCAAACTGGTTCAATAAACACGTTCCGTGAAATATAGAAAGCATACGTTGAAATCGGGTCAAATTTAGAATTAAGGTCATCCTAACTAAACAGAATGCAATTCCAATACTGCGATCATATCTGCAAAGTAAAGCAAAAACATTAGTAATTAATTAGTATTTACATCTGAGAAAAGCCTTGCACGTAGTTGAATTATCTGACACTTCTATAAAAAAGAATGACCCAAGCTGGTGTTATCAATACGTCGTTGGTCACCGATCGCATCGCATGTAACGTTCAAAATGGTGCGCAAAGAGGTATTGTTTTTAATTTGCTTGTGGCTCGCGTTTTGCTATGGGTCAACGATCAGAAGACTAGCGTCGTACGACGATGACGATGATGGTGGCGGAATGTTTTTTCCAGATCAACTTATGAATGCGATAGCTTCAAGTACGTATAACCTATAATTATTTGAATAAGTAGTGAATGTATTTTTACCATTAGCAACTGAAGATCCTGAGATTATTGAAAAAAGAATAATTTCCGTTGGCTCTAACTGTGCCCCAAACCAGGATGTGGTTAATGGAAAATGCAGAAGAAAGTTTGGCAAACCTTAGCAAAGTGACCATTATGGTGATAAAAACACAGACTGAAATTTAGTGCTAAGAAATATCATCGAAAGCCGGTACCTACCTACAATACTCGTCTTTGTAGTACCTTAGATTTAAATTAAAATTAAGATAATAATTACAGTTTATATAGTACGAGTAATTACACATTATTTATAAAATATACCTAGTTTTGCTGCAGTTTGGAAAATTTGTGGTGAAAGGTGACCTTCGATGATGCAACTGAGATTCAGTGATTTATTACGTATTTAGATAATTGGATTTGAGACGATTTTATTTCTAAAGGTTTCCACTGAATATTATAGTTTAGTTTTAAAGATAAAATGAAGAATATTCGCTTAGACCAATTGAAAACACTATGAAAGCATTTTTGCTTTGCATGTCCATAGTTTTTCTAGTTTTGCTACATACAGAGCTGTTTATGTATGTATTGAATTTTTAATTCTTAATAGGTTAACTCACCAGTTGCATATCGCATTACTAGAAGCTCGAAATGAAAATTTTAAACAGTTTATCACGAAACTCTCGCCAGATGACCACACAATATGGAAGGTAACAAAAAAATTCAAAAGATCAACTTTAATGACACCGCCAATTAGAAAGCATGATGGAACCTGGGCTAGAGCAGAGAAAGAAAAAGCAGATACATTCGCCGATTACCTCACTAACGTTTTCTCTACACCACAACCTCAAGGAATACATACAGACCACGAAATTGAATCATTTCTTGACGTACCATGCCAACTTTCACTACCAGCCAAACCATTCTCACCAGCTGAAGTACGACAACAAATCCAGCTCACCAATTGTCACAAAGCTCCTGGATTCGATCTAATAGTAGGAGAAATCCTAAAAATCTTCCACGAAAAGCTCTTGTGCTCCTTACCACCATATACAATAGCATCCTAAGACTTTGCTACTTCCCTGTCCAATGGAAGTTCGCCCAGATTATCATGATAGTTAAACCCGGCAAACCACCTACACAATCCTCCTTTTACAGACCAATCAGTCTCCTGCCTTTAATGTCTAAGATATTTGAGAGGTTGCTGCTTAAAAGAATTCATGAAACAGTTGATCTGGATAGCTTACTCCCATCCCATCAATTCGGATTTCGACACTACCACTCAACTATCCATCAATGCCACAGAATTGTTACCCATATTATGAGAAGCTTGGAGACAAAGCGCATATGCACCGCCTCATTCCTAGATATAAAGCAAGCTTTTGATAAAGTGTGGCACAAGGGCCTGTTATTTAAACTCAAGCTGCACTTCCCAAGTCAGTTGTACCTTGTACTTAAATCTTATCTAGCTGAGAGATTCTTTCAAGTTAAGATCAACAACACGGTATCCGAATATCACAAAATCACTTCCGGTGTGCCACAGGGCAGTGTACTGGGGCCCTTACTATATCTACTCTACACCTCTGACATGCCGAACATGGATCACACTGTAGTAGCCACTTTCGCTGACGATACAGCTATTCTAGCAACCAACGAAAAACCGGAAACAGCAGCGGCACACCTACAAAGTCACCTCGACGTCCTGCAAAAATGGTTCAACAAATGGTGTATCACAGTAAATACCGATAAGTCAGTGCATGTCACGTTTACCAACAGAAGAGTCATATGTACACAGGTCAGAATTAATGATGCTACAATACCTCAAAAAACAGAAACTAAGTACTTAGGCCTACATCTAGATCATAAGTTAAACTGGAATGCACACATTAAGGCCAAAAGAAAACAGATTGACATTAAGGCTAAACAAATGAACTGGCTAATTGGTAGACGATCCCAACTTTCCCTATCGAACAAAATACTATTGTACAAAATCATATTAGAACCCATGAGAGTATGGGATCCAATTATGGGGATGTGCAAAGGCCCCTCACGCCCAAATTCTACAGAGATGTCAATCGAAAATGCTCCGAACAATAACGAATGCTCCGTGGTACGTAACAAATGCAACTCTCCATGCAGATCTAGGTATTCCATACGTGGCCAACGAGATTCAGAGACTCGCAAGAACTTACCATCGAAACTTGGCAGGACATGGAAACGAACTAATAGGTCAGCTGATCAACCAACCAGGTGTCAATAGAAGACTGAAGCGACTATGGCCACATGACTTACTATAATAACAATTCGTAGTAGAATATTACATATGGGGAAAGTGGCAATGGCCACGGCACCCTACATGACCTGTAAAAAAAACCATAAAACATTTACTAATTACTTGTTTCATAAGTAGATTGTAAATTTGCAGATCAATAAAAAAAAAAAAATGTTTCGGGTAATTTTAAAAACATACTCCAAACCCTAACTACAAAATGTCAGTTGAAGTTATGCCATCAAATTTTCAGTCAATTTGAGGTTGTTGAAAACATTATATTTGGTAAAGTATATGACATAACCCCCGATTTGTACAGTAAATATTTTGCAAGTGAAAATGCAGCTGATTTGTGTATACTTCATTGGGTTGATATCAAAGGTACTAAGTATAAACCAGGAATGGTTTTAGTAATGAATAGCGAAGATTTGCCCAAGTTTGGGAAAATAAAGCATATTGTTCTAAAAAACGATTCATTTGTTTATTTCATATGTACAATTTTCATTACTACGCATTTTAGTAGACACTTCCAAGCTTTTGAAATATTACAGCCACCTAATGAAACTGAAGAATGTGTGGAATACAACAATTTACATGAGTATAATATGCCTGTATTATTGTCGAAATGTGGCAATCAATTATTAATAGTTGTTAGATACACCCTTTAAGTTTAAGTTTTATTAAGTATTATTATAATTTTACTACAATTTGTCTTTGTCCCTATTTGTACCATATTTTGTTGCAGGGGGTTATACAATTATAGTATTTTGGTCAACTTTTTTTTTCAGTGTGTGCATTGATTAAAGGGTTATTCTCATCTGTAATTGCTTGATGTAGTGCTCTTAGTCTGAAAATGCGAGCATCGTGCGTTCGCAGTGGATGCCCACTGCTAATAGTTATAATTTTTTGTTCGCATTGCAGACTACCTGAAGAACAACCGAATGACATTGGTACCTGTTGTAATAATCTATGGAATTTCCTACTGGCTGTTTAATAAATATGTGGGTTCCATCAATGGCACCTATTACATTTGGGATCCCCGATCTCTCTTCAAATATCTACAAATTTTTATCTTTAAATATCTACAGATTTTTTAATGGTAATACAGTAGGTACAACCTTGCTAATCCGAACTAATTGTGACCGGAGGTTTGAAGTAACATAAAAACAGTAAAACGAAATAAACAATTAATGTAAATCATAAATATCGAAACGGTCAGCACGTGCAAACGTTTTGGTGGGAGAATTATGCAGCGTTCACACTTTTGTTCAGATTATCCCGAATTCGTTCGGATTAATGCAAATTGCGATTAACTCGGTTCGGATTAGCGCGATTCTATTGTAATAAAATGTGTGGTACATTGTTACCCGTGCAGTTTCTTCACATTGACGTTGATTAGGCCATATAATATACTCATCAACCAAACTACTGAGTATCACAACAATTTGTTTGAATATATAATGTGCACTTGATCTTGATACACCAAAGCGATCGCCGCAGGCTAGAAAGGTTTCTAGTTTGGCCAATAACCATATTGTTAACAACACTTTCTTTTCGACATCTACAGTCGGCATTCTTGATATCACGATACTATTTGCTACAATTTGTAGAATAACCTATAAATATATAAAATATTAATGTATCAAAAAAATTACAATCATTTATCTCCATTGTATTTCTGCTCATCCTAAAATGATCCTTAAATTCGTCCAAAACTATATGAAGGGATGGTTACTTCAAAGTAATTTTCATTTCGAATAGAACGTCTTCTCACATTCTCTATTGCCAAGGGTGGTAGAGCGCCGATATCATTTGCAATCATATTGTTAATAAATAAATTATTATTAATTATTGCCTCCTCTACATCATCATCAAACAGTAATATTTCTTCGATGTCCATGACATAAAATTTACAACTTAACAGCTATGTTAGTACATAAATGATTAACACAAACTTTCTAGGTTAGGTACTAAACACTGTCAAGCCAACAACTATAGATGCTACAGCGCTTCACTGCGTCGCTGTAGAATATGGCTGCCGCGCTTTATTTCGGTGAACGCGCCCATTGGGATGCGCTGCTGGAGAGGCCAAGAAAGAAATGGATAGTATGCTTGCGAGCTTCAGAAGATAAAAGGCAAAAGGGAATAAATCGGTAGGGACTGGAAAAGGTAATATTCACGTCGTTAAACACAAACTACATAATCAGTCCAATTCTGTAACTTAAAATAACCTTAGCAACTTGCTAATAGTGATGGTAATTGCTAGGTAAGCAATATTTGTTAAAAGTGGTATTCTGTACTGACAAACCTAACAATGTTGCCTAACATTTTAACAATTCAATTGCTTGACCCTAGCAATAGGTAAAGTGCTGTTGTTAAGTCTTAGCAAGTTCAAATATGGCAGGTGGATGGTTTAAATACGAATTTTTAAACGCTGTTGAAGATTCAATTCTTCCCATAATTCATATAGTTTTTAATATCGTTTGTTTGGAGCTTTAGCGCATTTTCCAAAGAAGTTGGGTGCGCTATTGCAGCCACTTTCTCTGTCCGTCTGTCCGAGGCCTTAACTACTCCTACAGTTCAAGATATTTAGTTCGTTCTCTTTGCATTGGGTAGCGTATAACTCTTGCATCTGAGGCAAGCAAAATCTTGACGATTAAACGGCGCAATGTCAACTTCCCTTTTTATAGAGAAATTTTAAACATAGCTGTCTCTAATAAAGATAAGCATATCGCATATTGTAAACATCAGACGTGCGCATGCGCAACTGCCAAATTTCTTATTTATAGAGAAATTTTAATAACAGATGCTTCTAGGAAAGATAATCGCATGCGCTAGTTAATCGCCTTAGGGCAAAAACTTTTTTACTTGTTTTCTAAATTGTCCACAATTATGGAACGTTGCTCCTATGTTGTTCTAGCGCCACGCTGTGTGGTATCTGTATTTTCCATGGCGAGCAAATAAATACAAATTACAAGTCGCACGTCACTTTTAAAGCACAACGCGCCTAATCGGTTAAACTTAAATAAAAAATAACCTAACCTTACAATTAAAAAGTTTATACAGTTG